GATGCATTACCACTCCCCTGTCCTCTGCACATACGTCCTCTTCAGATACCTAAAGAACTTATAGAATCAGCATTTTCAATACAGGAATGTTACATAACTTCGGTGGAGAGGCTGACAGGGTTAGAGTACAGCAGAGGCAATGGTGCTTTGCATCTGGTTCGTATCATACCTAACTTTGGAGGTGATGGTTTGTTAGTGAATTTGGGTAACAAGGAGTTCCTATCAGAAAATTTGAAAACAACATTAGGTGTGAGCTTTGTAACCGAAACAAAACTGACAGTATATCTACTGAAAGATGTGAACTTACAAGTTAAATTGAATGAATCAGGTTTCTATTTTGTCCCCTACATTTTGGCCAAACTCAAAATTTATTTTCGAATAAAATGAAATACTGCAGAGGTTGTCAATCAGCAAAAAAATACACAGAAGCTGCTGGAGAAACTCAGCAGGTCTGGTAGCACATGACTGGAGAAAGCAAGTTAATGCTTTGAGTTCAATAAGACTTGTTCGGAACTGGTTGGGCTGAAAATTGATGCTTTCAGTTAACAGTATAGAAACTAAGTGAAAGAGGAGAACCCCATTATTATTCAGGGTCAGTGGGGGGAAAATTGGTTAAATGGGTCAGACACAGCTGAGGGCCCTGTCAACCACAGCGGATTTCTTCTACTCAGATATTTTTTACTTTAAAATTTGTTATATGCAGGTTTCATTGAATAGAATGGTTCTATCACATAACAGAACACTTAAGCCACAATCTCTATAAACTGGAAATGGTTGGAAAAGTTAACAGTTATATCTCTCAGTGTTCCTGCATAAATTCACTAAGAGGCTTTTTAAGGGGGAAAAAACTACACAGGCTACTCAAAACAGAAAAAACTGAAGACTGTCAAAGGATGCATGTTTTATGTAGCAAAAAACCAAAAGGTACATGTTCAATTGTTTCCAGTGACTATTTGATAAAACTAGTTGCACAATTCTCATTGCTGGGTTACATTGGTAATTATATTTAGGTCAAAACAAGATGAATAATAATTCTGGCTGCACTCCTAATGAGAGACATGTGATTCCTGTGGATTTCCTCATACTAATGTTATTTACTTTGATGAACAAAAAAAAGGAACAAAAAATCTCAATTTGAAAGAGAAAAATGCAAATGTAAGGAATTGCTCTCATCAGAAATTCAGTTTCTATTGTTACTACTGAACAGATAAATAGATATTGCAAAGTAACTGTGGGCTTAGTTTCAAATGTCAACTATTCCCTGCTAATAAAAACCCCATTCCATAGCATAAACATACTTCTGCTAACAGAGCGAACACATGGAACTTTTCCAGCATGATCATCCATACTGTAAATTAAATTTGTGCAGCAGACTACACAACGTGCTCATTTTTCCATATTTTAAAATGGTATCCTCATTCCCCAGCGATGGGTATAGCTGGTTGTTAGGCCAAACTTTGACTGTTGCTAGCAACATACAACACAACACCATCAGCTAATACGTGATGCCATCATTCACTTGCACTCTCGTTGCCTCATAGCAGTCAAAACAGAATACGGTGTAAGCAGTAAATGAAAGATGGCTGACACTAATAATAGAAACTTTTACAATTCTAAGCAGTCTTCAATCTAGCACTTTCATCACAATTTTACCTCAATTTGCAACAGTATAAAAGAAAATAAAGTACTCAAGGTTACATCTGTGATTACTGATTGTAAATACATGTTAATTAAGTTACGTAGGTTTGCTACCATGGAATGTGAACATCCCTAGCAAGGCCAGCATTTGTTGCTTATTCCTATTTTTCTTCCAGGGGTGGTAATGAGCCACATCTTTGGACTTCAGCAGCCTATCTGATATTGGTACATCCAACACTCGAAATATGCAGGCAAATGACCCTGGAAAAGTCTCAGAAGATAAGAAAATTCAATCACAAGGGCGAATAACTGGAGAAAATTCATGGCTATACATGGGATGGAAAGAAGCTGTGAGCTGCAGCTCTCCCCGCCACCCCCAAAGAGGTTTTGTTTCTAATGCTGCTGCTCCATTTCCACCAACCATACTGGGATCTGGGGTTGAGTCAGGAAGCAGAACATCATTCCTAATGCCAATTGCTCCACTAATAATTGGGAAGTTAGATACCATAGCCGTTCATCATTGTATTACATTATCTGACCAAGTTTATTGGAATTTTTAACCATTCATAATATTCAACGTGCTGACAGGCAGCACGTATATTGGCCTTTCCTATAAAGGAGAACTGTTTAAAAAAAAAAATCAATAATGCAACAGATTTGTAAGTAACATCTCGAACGTTGAGAGAGTCTATCTAAAAACTCTAATGCTGTACTTCAATAACTGCCATGACTCCATAGTTTTGTATTTATCTAGTTTTTAACTCAGTAGTCAAAAGATTACATAGTGATAACACTTTTCCACACACACTGTAGGTGGTGTTGAAACAGTGAGACAATGAGGAATTAAACGTGATTCCTTCATCGCCACCATCAGATCAAACTTCTGGAACTCACAGCCGAACAGCACTGTTGGAATTCCAAACTCACTACATGAACTGCAACAGGTCAAGAAGATGGGCTATCATCATCTTCAAGAGCAATGATGGATGGGCTACAAATACTGGCTTTGCCAGTGCAGCAAAATTCCAAAATTTATTTTAAAATACCTGAGTCGAGGATAAATTATGATCTGAGCCAGTTCCTTTGGAATCAGTGAGTACACCATAACAAGGCACAAAACTGCTATTGTATTTGATTCCATGGATGTCCACAAAGCACGCAAGAAAATTGTTAATGTGATGTCAGCAGGTAAGTAACTTTTCCAAAAAAAAATTATGTCTTTGCAAACCTATGAAGAGAATCTTTCTAATGATTTAGCAATGAGAGTGCATTATCTTTTATTGCATGGGGACCAAATATCATGCATTTAATATTTCATAATCAGAACATTTTCCCTTTAACCATTAATTCAATGAGTTGTCACTTGCCAGCAATTTTTTTTTAAGAAATATATTTCAGGTGAATAAATGCCTTGAGGCTCATGTGTGTGGAGAGGAAATACGTTAGGAAAATTGTGAAGTAGAATCACTTGCATCAAAAAAATCAGGTCTCCTTAGCACAGACCTGCAAAATACTCAACAAGTAGGTTCTGATATCCTCACGTATTTGCTGATGTGTCACAGAACTTTCCATGTTGGCAGTGATCATCAGAAAAGCACCTGGTGAAGCCTGACACACTAATGGGATGGCAGACTGTTTTACTCCCTGTCATATCAAAGAGTCCAAGCCACAAGCATGTCAAAGCTTAACAGGTGAAGCAGAGGATCACTCCTTCAATAATTTGTCTCTTTTAACATTGGTAAAGGATTGCACCCACAAGTCACATTTGTTTTATCCCTGAGGCATGCAAACACTTTGGTCATCAAGAGTGATCTCTTCATTCAGAGTTCTGCAGACTGCACTAACTCACCCTTTCTCCAGTCACCTCAATTCTCATTTAATTGACTTCCAAATGCCAAGTTTGTGACTTCAGGTTATTTGCACTTAGTGAATATCCCTCCATGCATACATCCCACCCTATCATAAGTGGCCTCTTTGAGCAATACATGTACTTTTCACTCCACTGATACAATTAGCCTTTCATCTTCACAACTTGCGACCGGTCTTTCTGCCACTAAATACCTGTTTTCGAGAGCGTTGTTGCTAAACTCTCCACGTTAAAAGAAAAACAAAGAAGATGCCAAGGTATCTTTCAAATTTTCTCTTTGACTATTTGTTTCATCCTCAAATCTTACTGCCCCATTTATCTTTTCTAGCCACCATATAGTTCCTTTTGCAACCTAGAAAGTCCCTATATATAAGATAACCACAATGGGTAGGAGTGTTGAGTTTCTTGCGCAGTGATATTCATTAGTCATGATGCCTCATGGTTATATATGGCTTTCTTCATTTTTACTGAGTAGAACATTGAGAATATGCTTGAAAGTTTGTAAAATTAGACGATACACATTTCCCTGCATGTGACACATACGAAACACTTGCCCTTCAAATTTGCTGGCTTCATTTCGTGACAGATCTACTATACTGTTTATAGATTCCCACATATTGAGACTCAATTATTAAGTAATTATTTAAATTAGGACTCATTTACAAGTCTTACTTGAAAGTGCTTGTATTATTAAGATTTCCCAGTTTTTTAAAAAAAAGTGAAACTTGATGTTATACTGTATCACTGACCTTACTGCAATCAACATAAATGGTTTGATATTACTGATGTACGCTTCAACAATTTCAAAAAGGTAACAAGTATGACAATTCCCCTTGTGCTTTTGCCCTTCTCCTCGAAATATTTGTTTGCATGGAACTATTTCAAATTAAAGTGGGAATAAAAAGAGAAAAATCCAATTACTAAGTTAGAAAAATCTGTATGGATAGAATGGGAAATTGTACCCCAAACACTCAGTGAAACTCAAGTAGGGCCAATATGATCTGAATTTGTATTAATTTTTACATCCTCCTTGAAACTAGTCTCCAGATTAACTCCATCCAGAGTTCAAATACACATTTTCTCTATACAGGGTGCTACTGAGCCATGGGTTACTTTTGATACTTGCAAATTCCTCCATGGCGTTGACACGCACCATGACCCCCAACCCCACAAATCTCCATAACGTCCTCTAACCCTTTAACTTTTTGAGATCACTGAAATCATGGGCATCAACAATTTTCATTTCTTCACTACAGGCAGCTAATCTTTCAGCAGACTGAGCCCAAGTTAGATTTTAGCTAAACCGAAGTCATTGTTGAACTCATAATTGAAGTCAATTTACACAATATAGGTATGATTACTTCTATAATCATGCCTTAGGTAAGGTTTGCTTTTTAATCTTAAGTGGAAATGCTTACAAACTTTTGAATTTTCACTTGTTTGGTTTCCAGGACTTTTAAAAATAACTCAGATATTTAATACATTGCTTACTCACCTTTGTCCTTGTTCTTTTCCTTGCCCAATGAGTCTAATTTCCGTCGCAATGATTTCTTCCGCTTTTGTCCATCTATAAACAAAACAAACAAGATTAAACATTTGTTGATTGAAAGAATGATGCTGTAAGTATACAGGAAATTTAAGTCACAACTCTAGAAAATATTTAAGTCTTACGTGATACGAGATACAAAACAAAACATTTCAAGTTCAAACAAAATTAAGGTCTATTGCAGTGCTTACATTTTTCTTCCTTCCTCACTCCAGATTTTTTGGCTTCTTTGAGAATATATGTAAAATATAGATTAGTTCCAAGGACATGTTCACTAGCTTTGACATCCATGCAGAACACTATACTCTGGCCAGGATAATGTGATAAAGATATTATTCTGACTTAAATATTCACTCCCTTCACCACCACTGCAGTGCTAAGATGTACTATCTCTAACGTGGACTATTGCAACTCACTAAAGCTTCTTCAAAAATATCTCCAAAACCCACCAGCTGAAGGACGAGGGCACACGTAACACCTTGAAGTTGCACCTCAACACAACCTAACACATACATCACTGCTGTTCCTTCGTTGTTGTTAGATCAAGATCCAGAAATTCCCTCCGAAACAGTCAACTGGTATAATGCTGATCAGCAATCGTCTCATCTCGAGAGCAAAGAATGATTTGAGGTCATGGAATTATCCTCTACTTTTACCTGATTATCTACAGTCTATCAAGAATTTCTCAACATCACACATGCAAATGTCACCCTACAGGGAACTACAGACTCATCAGCCTTACACCAGTAATAGGGAAATTGCTAGAACCTATGACAAAGGTCACTTCAAAAAAGAATCATCTGATTGGGCGCAGTCAGCATGGATTTGCAAATGAAAAAGTTGTGTTTGACAAACTTGGAGGTTTTGTTTGAGGATGTCACTTACAAATAAGTGACAAGGGAGTCAATGGATGTATGATATCTACATTTTCAGAAGGCCTTGTTAAGATCTCCCACAAGATTAAAGAATATGGGATAGTAGATAATGTACTGGCAGGGTTTAGGGATTAGCTAACAGACAGAAAGCAGTAGGAAAACATGGATCACTCTCAGGTTGGCAGACTAACTAGTGGGGTACCACAACGATGGGTAATTGGGCTCCAGCTGTTCAGAATATATTTGAATGATTTGGATGCACTCACTAAAAGTAATAATTCCAAAGTGGCAGGTCTTACAAAAACAGGAGTGTTTTGTGAGGAAGATGTAAAACATTTTCAAGAGGATTTGGACAGGCTCAGTGCATGGGCAAAAAGATGGCAGATGAAATATAATGTGGAAAAGTACAAGATTAGTCACTTTTGTAGGAAGAATAGATGTGCAGAATATTTCTTAAATGGTGAGAATTTGGAAAGTGTAGGTGTAGAAAAGAACTCTGGTGCCTTTGTCAAAATGTCACTGAAGGCTAGCACACAGGTGCAGTAAGCTATATGAGAAGACTAATATGTTGTTAGTTTCTTTTGGGACTGGATTGGAGTAAAAGGAGTATTGAAGTCTTGCTTTAAACGTATAGCAGCTTGGTCAGACTGCACCTGGAATAGTGTGCACAGTTCTGGTCTCCTCCCCTCAGCAAACATATTACTGACAGAGGGATTGCAAAAGACTTGTTGCTCAGTTGGCAGATTTACCCTGTGAGGAGAGATTGGGCAAACTGGCCTGTATTCTTTAAATTTTTGTAGAATGAGAAGTGACCTCATTGAAACCGACAAAATAAATAAAGGGCTGGACAGGGTACATGCAGATAAGATATTTATCGTGGTTCAGGAGTTAACATCCAGGGGGCATAAATTAAAAACAAAGGCGATGCCATTTAGGACAGAGATGAGAAGTTTTTTTTAAAAAATTCAAAAGGTGGCAAATCTTTAGCAGTGTCTAACCAAGTGGGTTGTAAAAGCTCTGTCTTTGAGTATATTTGAAGTAGCATTTGATAAATTTTTGATTACCAATGGTATATTCATTATGGGGATAGTGTGCTGATGAAACCATTGGCTTTTACCCAATGACTGTATCAAGTGGCAGATGAGGTTCAAATCGGCTGAATGGCCTACTCCCATTCCTATATTCCTTTCAAGATCCTGTTTCAGGTTTTTAAAATTAAAGGAAATATTTTTCCTAAAAGACAAAATAGTCACAACCTGCAAAATCCTGTTCCTGGGGAAGCAAAACCTGCACAACATCACTGGTCAATTTCTCTTTACGTGAATGAATACTTTATACACACAATTACTTTCTGCTTCCAGCTACAGTGGAAGCTACAATGGTCCAATGTCACTCTCAAAAGGATTCAGACCTGCTCTCAGATCATTTTACTTACAAAAAAAAGAAACCCTTTAATTAATAGCCAGGATTTCCTGGATTTGCATTAGCAAACCTTTCCAAAGAAAAACTTGACAGTTAAACACTAAAAAGGGAACTTGAAATAACTACACAGAGGCCAGTATCCCATCATCACCTCAGTTCATGGGACTAAATCTCCAGTTTATATTTGTTAGCCATGGCTTTCTTGATTGGCCAAGGTTAACAATCCCAATCGAGGACCTTGTAATCAATAAGGTCCACCTGGTCCCAATGTATTTTTTAATTCATTCATGGGGTGTGGGCATCGCTGGCTAGACCAGCAACTGCCGATCTCCAATTGCCCAGAGGGCAGTTAAGAATCAATCACATTGCAGTGGGTCTGGAGTCACATGTAGGCCAGATCAGGTAAGGATGGCAGATTTCCTTCCCTAAAAAGGATATTAGTGAACCAGATGGGACATCACTACATCCATCCCACCAAAGTCTGGGAATGTAGGCCTAGTCTTTCTCTTGTAGCTTCTCTTGTGATGTATTCACCACAGGTTCAGTTCCTCTGATTTGGACTCCGACACAGGCAGCGTGTACTGTACCATAGCCCACCTCTTGCCACTGGAGCATCCCGGCAGAGTTTTCTCCTCTTCTTCCAGTGGTGACAGTATCAAGGCTGTATCCACCTCGGACTCGGACTTTTCCTTGCTACTAGATGGAGGGGGACACCCCACAGTTTCCGACAGGCAATTCTGGCTATGCCTGGTGGGTAGGCTGCTCTGAAAGCCAGGTACATTTTTGCTCCTGCACCATTTGCGAGGTAACAGCTTTCAGGTAATCCACATGTTTGTTTAGGACCATACCACCAATCCAAACTTTGTTAAGTAACATAACCTGACCTCATGTCAACCTCACCTCAAACCCATGCAAGGCCATTTCCATGGTTCCAGGCTGGGAATATATGTTTAATTTGGTGCGGGGTCTTCTTCCCATCAGCAACTCTGCTGGAGCTATCCCTGTAGTTGCATTTGGGGTGGTTCTATAATCGAACAGGAACCGGGACAGTTTGGAATCAAGTGACACTGTAGGCTGCTTCTTCAAGCCTGCCTTCAATGTTTGGATTGCTCTTTCCACTCGACCATTGGACAATAGATGGTATGGAGCTGTCCTTATGTGCCAAATGCCATTTGACTTCAGGAACTATTCGAATTCCCTGCTAGTAAATGATGTCCCATTGTCCGTGACCAATACTTCCGGGAGTCCGTGTATCGCAAACAATGCTCGCAGCTTCTCAATCGTCATCCCCAAGTTTGCTGAACGAACTTTATGCATGTCCAACCACTTTGAATGGGCATCTACAATAACCAGGATCATGAAAGGACCATCATAGTCAACATGCAACCGAGTCCAGGGTTTACCTGGCCATTCCCACGAATGTGGGGGACCTGCTGCTAGCAAATATTTTCTCCTCATTGACACTCGGGGCACTGCCTCACCAACACCGTTATGTCAACATCCAACCCAGGCCACCAGACAAGGCTTCCTACCGGCATCTTCATCTTGGAAAGCCCTGGATAACCCTGGTGGAGTTCAGCCAGTATCTGGTGGTGACCTTTACTCGGGACAATCACCCTTTCTCCCCACAGTAACATGCCATCCTCTATGGTGATCTGGTCTCACTGGGCCCAGAAAGGTTTCTATCCTGGTTGAGATGGCCCTTCTGTTTCCCTCATTACCACCAGCTGTTTTAGTTTCACCAGGACAGGACCTTTTTGTGTCCACAGTCTGATATTGTCAGTGGTGACAGGAAGGGTGTCCAAGAAGTTTAAAACGAAAACGGACTCTTCCAGGGGAGGCACCAGCGGTGAAGTATCTGCCAGTGGGAGGTGGCTCAAGGCATCGCATTAGCCACCAGCTTCCTGGACAGTTTTCTAATTTGTACTCGTACACGCTGAGAATAAGGACCCAATGCTGAATTCTACCAGAAGCAATGGGTGACACTGCCTTGTCCTCTGAGTAGCCTACCAGGGGTTTGTGATCTGTTACTATGACAAATTTCCATTTGTAAAAGGTAAAGGTGGAACTTCCTCACATCGAAAGATGACCACCAAACCTTCCTTCCCTATCTGGGCATCAGCCAAAGTCCAAGAAGCATACGCTATTAGGTGTTACTCTCCGCTGAGCCACCAGTGAGCAAACCCGACCCCGATGCCATATGGGGAGGCACTGCGTGTTAGTGCTACCTCTTGCTTCGGATCGTAGCGGGCCAACATGTTAGATGACGATAGCTGCTTTTTCACTTCCCTAAAGGCTGCCTCTTGGCTACGCCACCATTTCCAAGGCTGACCCTTTTTCAATAGCGGGTGCAAGGATTCCAAGATGGAGGCCAGGTTATGTATGAGTTTTCCTTAATAATTCACTCCATACCACTCTTGTTGCCACTGAAATAACTGCACAGAGGCCAGTATCTCATCAGCAAGTTACCCTTTATTTTCTTGTGCACAGTACACTGGCTGTGTCCAGCCAGATCGGAGTCAGACCCCTGAACTGAGGAGACTCTAAACCTCCTGCTCATATTTTTTTTTTCCAGTTTACACTCTTTTTGTTAAACTGTACAAAAATGCAAAACAAATCAAGGTAACAGTCAACAAAGCAAACAATAATTTACAGGGAAATCAGGACAGTAAAATGAACTCCAAAATCCCACTGAGCAATCAGTTAACAAATCAGTCAACAATT